GAATATGGTTGGTATGATTTCAACCCTCTTATATTTGTTGAGGCTATCTCTGTGTCCCAGTATGTGGTCAATCCTTGAGAATGTTCCATGTGCACTAGACAGAATGTATAAGCAGATATTTTGAGATGGAAGGCTCTGTATATGTCAATTATGTCCAGTTGGTCTTATGTGTCATTTAGGAATGTTTTTCCGTATTGATTTTCTGTTTGGATGATCTGTCCATATTCAACAGTGGGGTATTAGGTCCCCTACTACAATAGTGTTTTGGTCTGTTTCTCTCTTTAGTTCTGTTAATAATTGCTTTACATATTTTGGGGCTCCCTGATTGGGAGCATAGATATTAATATGTGTTATGTCTTGTATGATTCACTTTCTCATTATGAAGTGTCCCTCAGTATCTTTCTTTACCTTTTTTTTATTTTGAAGTCTATTTTGTCCGATATTAGTACTGTTACTCCCACTTTTCTCTGAATGCCATTTGTTCGAAATACCATTTTCCACCCTTTCAGTTTGAGTCTATTTTGTCTTTGGAACTGAGATGTGTCTCCTGGAAGCAGTATATGGTTGGATTTTGTTTTTTGATCCATTCTTCAACTCCATGCGTCTTTTTATTGGTGAGTTCAGTCCATTTACATTTTGGGTGATTATTGAAATATGAGCTCTTCTTATAGCCATTTTATGTTTTGCTTTCTAGTAGCTTAGTGTTTCCACTGTTTCTTTATCTTTATGCATCTGGTTTTTGTATTTTGGTTAGGTTTTGTGGGCTTTCCCTCTGGTCCTTCTTGTTTTATGTTATATACGTTAGTTCTGAATCTTTGGCATGTGGTTATCATTATGAACAAATATGTTTTCTCTGCATGTGCCTTATCTCCATTCCCTTTTGCGAATTTGAATCTTTAAATCCCACTCCTTTCAGTCATTGTTATCTCACTTTGTCCCTATGTATGCTGACTGTTCATTACTATCTTGCTATAGCAAATCTCTTCTTATTGTTTAAGGTTATAATACCCTGTTCTTAATAAGGGTTGCAATCCTCTGCTTCTATTTGCCTGATAGTCGCCTTACTCCTAATTGTGTCTTTTTTTTTTTGTCATTTTGTTTTAGATGAGCTGACCCCTTTCAATATTTCCTGTAATGCAGGCCTCCTAGTGGAGAATTCCCTCAATTTTTGTATGTCTGGAAAGGTCTTTATTTCTCCTTCATATCTAATGGAGAGCTTAGCTGGATACATTATTCTAGGCTGGTAGTTTCTTTCATTTAATAGTTTGACTATTTGATTCCACTCTTTTCTGGCTTGTAAGTTTTATGCTGATAAGTCTGACGATAATCTAATGGGTTTTC